CTGTACCAACCAAATACATTAAAATAATAAGAATATAGTTTTGGGGGGCTAGGGAGATAGCTCAGTAGAATAAGTGCTTGCCTGACAAGTACAAGAACCTCAGTTCAATCCCCAGTTCCACAAAAAAAAAAAAAGAATACAGTTTCTTGACTTCTAAATCTTTTTCAAATATTATGTCTGCAGTGTAGAAATGTAGTTTAAGGGCTGAGGAGATAGCTCAGTAGAATAAGCGCCTGCCTGGCAAGCACAGGGTCCTGAACTCAGTCCCTGGTACCACAAAAAAAAAAAAAAAAAAGTAATCTAAAAAATACAAGTAATCTATTGGACACTTTCAGTTGTAGAAATATGTTCTATAAGTTACCATTCTTTCATTAATCTTTGTTTTGTTGAATTGGTTGATCTCTTATTGGAAAGTACCTATCTGTGGGCATAAAATTACTAATATGTATAGTCTGTCAAGTCAAGTGATATAAACAAATTTTTTTCAATTTACTTAAATCTAGTTTTTCATTTCGTTTTTTGTTATACTGTATTTCTCCACCTTTCTAAATCATTTTAAAATTGTACATCAATACAATAGTTTATTTTCATTATAAAACATTAAAGCAAAACAGACTACTATAGAAAAAAAGTTAGAGTTGTTTTTTAATTCCTATTATCAATCCTTATTCCAAGAGGGTTAGGAGACTCATAGAGTTGATTCTCCCAGAACACGCAGTTCCTGAAAGCTGCTCACTGTAGGCTAAGCTTTGCCCTGTTCTTTGTTCTAAGAAGAAAACATTTCTATGCATTTTGAAAATACGCTATACCTTACTTTTTAAAATATAGTTCATTTTTTGTTTTATTTTGTTTTCTGGTTTTTGTATCTTAGGGAAGGATCTACAGAGTGTTCAGGGTCTCACTACTATATTGGACTTGTAGTGATCCACCTGTTTACAGCCTCCTAAATGCTGGGATTACAAGTGTGCGTCACCACGCCCAGTCTCATTTGCCGCATGCCCTGGGGGGTGGGACCGGCATGGCAGTCCTGGTAGATTTTTTTTTTTTTAATTTATTTTGTGTGTGTGGACCAGTTCAGCCCACCAGGGGGCGGGGCTGGCTGGCATGTGGTGCTGGGGATTGAACCATGGTCCCTGTGCTTTTTGCTTAGCTTAGCTTGTTCTAAGTAGGTGCTTTAGACCACTGAGCCATCTCACTAGCCCCCTGGTAGATTTTTTAAATTAAGTATTTTTAAGTCATTTAAGGTTATGAATTCAATATCAAATGTGTTGTCAGTCAGGATCTTGACAGAAGACAGATGACACGTTTGAGGAGGGGATGAGAAAGTCCAATGAAGGATGCGTCTTTGCAGCATCAGCAAGAAGGAGAAGAAAGTCAGCCAGGGAAAGGGAAGGGGAAAGGACAACCAGGAAAATTGCTGGTACTACTGAGAAGGCAGATTGCTGCAGAAAGCCCGCCTACAGGACCTGTGGCGCTGGAGAGGCACACTGTTAAGAGCACACCATACCACAGTAGGAAACAGCAGGGGAAAAAACACCTGGCCTTCCTCTTTCTAGCTCCCCGGTATTGTGCCAGTGTTTCTCCTTGGCCAAACCCACCCAGGCAAGAGAACTGAGGCGCTCCATTGAAGTTGTCCTTAAACATCACCATGTAAGGGGCTGAGGAGATACCTTGGTGCTCTCAGTGCCCACCTGGCAAGCGCAAAGACGGGGGTTCAATCCCCAGTACTGCATGCTATGCCAGCCCCACGCCAAGCCAGCCGCCAAAACTAGGCATGGTGGCGCAGGTCTGTAATCCCAGAGCTGGAGAGGCTGAGACAGGAGAATCTCATGAGTCCAAGCTGTGTGGTGAGACCCTGTACCAAATAAATAAATAAATTTTAAAAATTAAGAAAAATAAAGATCACCATCTAAGCAGAATCAGAAAAGACACCCAGTCAAACTGGAAAGAGAAGACTCTCCAGCACAGTTTATTTACATTGGACCAAGTCATTCCCAAGTCAGTCTCCTGCTGGCAACTATTATTTGTGGCCTTCCCACCTGTGTCCCTATTGCATTACAGGCGGTTGCCCTTATGGAAGAATTTCAAGGCTTAGACCGAGATGTAGAAGGATCTGCCAAGCAGTGGAGGAAGTGGGTAGAATCCGAGTGTCCAGAAAAAGAAAAGTTACCACAAGAATGGAAGAAGAAAACTCTAATACAGAAGCTGATCATTTTGAGAGCAGTGCGCCCTGACAGGATGACATATGCTCTCAGGTAGGACAGTGGGCATCACTGGAAAGGCACATTATCACAGAGGGTTAGGAGTGGCCGGTAGGAGTGTGCGCCGGCCCTGCGGCTCAGGAGGCTGCTGAGATCCCAACATTTTAATCACTGCACTGTTACACTATGCTGAGCACTAACCAGCATGCTGCTGGGCTATTGGCAGTACAGTGTGCTGAGCACTAACCAGCGTGCTGCTGGGCTATTGGCAAACTCAGCACAACCTGCCGAAACAGCTCAATTCAGAAACCGGAAGGGCAGAGTTCAGAGGCCAGGAATATGCATTATCCAAGTATAATTTCCATCATCTTTATTCAGAGGTAGCATTTGACTCTAAAGATTTTGCACGTCAGGCAAAAAATGAATTCCTTTCTTGGAGCCACTCATAGTCCTATAACTTTGCAGCTAATGCAATTTAAAAGCAGAAATCCTTATCTGCACCCCGGTTCCAGCATCCTCTTGCTTTGCCCTCTTGGCTTCTAAATGGTAATATGCTGTTTAATTCATACACCTCTCACTCTAATATGAATTCACCAACCAAAGAGTTCAAACTTCCTTTCCTATTGTGCACCTCTTTCTTCAGTAATATTCATGTGCCTCCATTTTTTCCTCTGCTTTGAATAGTTCAGCCAATTTCCCCTCTGAGGAAGCCTCAGCCGAACCCTACCTTACAAGTTCCTTCTGTTAGTAGTACTTACTTTCTGCTAAATCTGATGCTGCTGGAAAATAATCCCTGCTTAATTGAGCTTCCCTGTGTTAGAAACACCCCAAAAAGCATTTGTATATTCATGAGAAGCTCAGCAGGCTGGAAAATTGCACTGTGGCAAGGCTAATGAACTGTTAATAAGTAATGGGGGATCTGGCAGGGGACTTGGATATAAAGCCATACCACAGGCCAGGCAGCTGATGGCTCTCAGAGGGGGGTCTTGGTAGCCCCCAGAGTAGGCTTCTGATTTTGACTTTCTCCAGAGAGCAATTTCATTGTTATACCTCCTGGGTGAATCTATGTGGATTCATGGTGTCATCCTAAAAAGACACCCCATATAATGAACCTCATGTGATTCTTTCCCTGGCTGTGGGTTAAGCCTATCTAACTGGTGACACTTTTAGAGGTCAAAATCCATGATGAGCTTTTTGCATATTCTTTTTTTCATAGAAATTTTGTGGAGGAAAAACTGGGCGCAAAGTATGTGGAGAGGACCAGATTGGATTTAGGGAAAGCATTGGAAGACAGCAGCCCGGCCACCCCAGTATTCTTCATCCTGTCTCCAGGGGTGGATGCCCTCAAAGACCTGGAGATGCTCGGTGAGTGGCCAGGAGGCTTGCCGGCCCACCCTTCCTCCCTCCCTTTCACCCACAGCCCACCTGCCCTTCCTTTCGGGTCATAGTTATCTTTTTAGATCCAGTGTATAGAAAATGTAAGACTAATAACACTGGAGTCTGAAGAAATGTTCAAACGGAACATTCATCCGGGTGGCGTAATGCAAGTTTCTTTTGTGCTGTGTTCCACCTTATGACTAAATGAGGGCCAGAGGGCAATTTTCTCGGTGCTCATGTAATCTTGTGCCCCCTGTGACTAAGTAATGGTCATTAGAGCAAGTCTATTCGATTGTGCAAGGCACTGTCGCTTTGTGCTCTAGATTACTATTCCCCATGGCCTACACCAGGAATACTAGGTTAATGTAGCTGTGACCCGACTGTGCTCAATTTAAACACAGCCTCGCAAGGTGAGAGCTTGTGCGTTTACCCAATGAACTGTTCCTGTTCAAAAAATGATGTGGTATCTACCACATGTTGCTCCTTTTTGTGAGGGAAATGCTTTGCTACTCCTGCAGGAGTTTAGAAAGCTCCCTAACAATGCTGCCATCTATCAAAATGTCAAAAGCTTCATTATCATAAAACCAAAGGCACTGACTTCCACAGGCTTTCCTAATGCTTTCAGGGCAGCAGCTGTGGAGAGCTCAGAATGCTGCTTGTAGAAAAACGGAAGCCTAGATCAGAGAGCTCAGGAGAGTGACCTTGAAGACAGATAGTTGAGGAGAGTGACCTTGAAGACGACAGTGGTGACCACAGACGTGTAGAGCGCAGAATCCCCGATTCCCTGCGCCTTGCCTCCTCTGACATTTGCTCTCACTGTGCTGTATTTCCCCACAGGCAAAAGACTCGGGTTTACATTTGACTCGGGAAAATTCCACAATGTGTCTTTAGGACAAGGTCAGGAAACAGTGGCAGAAATGGCGCTAGAGAAGGCTTCCAGAGGGGGACACTGGGTCATATTGCAAGTGAGTATGATGTTTCCACGGACAACACTGGTGTGACCCCACAGCTTGGCAGTGTGAGAGGGGAGGCTCCCTCTTCGGTGTGTGGAGCCCTAGTATTTCTTTGGGTATTCAGGAGGTGTCTATAGGTGATAAAAGAGTGTCAGTAAAGATGGCTTCAATCTTTGGAGAAACCATCCACAGCTTCAAAACATTTTAAACATTATTAGGAAGAATTCCATTGTTCTGATTTGCATTTAACTGGGACATTTCGATCATGCTTGGTAACAAATAGGCTTGTAGAGCTTGCTATACTGTTGCTGTAGCATCAGCGTAAAATGAAAGCAGTAGCTAAAATCAAAATTATGGGTTGATTTATTGATAGTGAAATTTGAAAAAAAAATTAAGCACATTGAGAATTGTGTAGATTGCTTCAATGTGTGTGTGTGTGTGTCTTACACAACCAACTCTAAGTCTAGTCCTGAGTAGTTATACCATTCCCTTGAATTAGATAACCCCTGTACTCCTTCCCCAGGTCTGTGATCCTTCATCCCAGTGTTTTCTGGGATGCCCTCCATAGCCAGGCAGGGATTCTAGCAAGAGCCTGGGAAATCACAGAGCCAGGCCAACCCTCGGGCCACCTAGGAGCTGAGCTACCTGCTACGGCCACAGTGCCAGGCATCAGGCCGTTTGGTGTGCAACACTGTGAGATCAAAGGTTCTTTCATGGGAGCAATCACAAGGCTCCTTATCTCTCAAGACTGTTTCCCAGGCTGGATTCCAGGGTGTGCCTGTGTTCTATGATGCTCCACCTAGGGGGGGTTTTCTGTCCCTAACTTCAAAGGAATTGCCTAGAATATGTTTTCATTTGTTTCAAGTAAGGTACTGTTGTGGTTCGTAAGAGTGAGTTGGCATGATTGAACTTATACAGATTTTATTATTGTTTTTATTGTTTACTTTTGTGAGTGTCAAAAGTAAGTGTGAAAATTAGTCTCACAACAACCTAGTAGCAAGAACCCAGGAGAAGAAAGTCGGGAGGCCTTACTTTCTGGGTTCATTTCTAGAGCTACTAAACTAAGTATTGCATACTGAGTGGTTTACTCAATAAAGTAAAGTTTAATTTTTTGTGGTTCTGGAGATTTGGGAGCCTGAGTCTGAGGTTAAGGGGACACAGACTTGGTTTCTACTGAGGCCTTTCCCACTGTCCAGTAGGTGGCCAGTTTCTCCCTGTCTTCGTGTGTCGTCCTCATCTCATCTAACCATCTTTAGCCTGATCACCTCATTAAAGGCGCCTACCTCCAAATAGGAGCCATAGCAAAGTACTGGACATTTCAACCAATGAATTTTGAAGGGGACTTAGTTCACCTGGTGACACCCACCAGGGCTCAGTATTTACCATGAGAATCAAATCCTGATAATGTGAGCAAACTGAATTGGCAGAGGGGTTTTCTTTTTTTTTTTTTTTT